TGTGTGTGTGTGTGTGTGTGTGTGTGTGTGTGTGTGCAACTTCTAACAAATTGTGACTATTTAAATGTGAAAAGAACAACTATCTGGAGGTGTTTAAGAAAAACTGTTAGACCGTTCAAACGGATCGAATCAAGTCAATCCAGATTGTTTTTTGGTAGTTTGAGCGGTCTGGTTTGAAAAATAGCCAAACCGTTCACTCTTGTCTAGTCTGCGGTTTGAAAGTTCTTTTTAGCAGTCTTGATCGAATCGACCGTCAAAAATACATGCGTCCTATCTCATTATTAAATATGAACTATTGTGAACTCTTATCATTTAGAGGACTCTTGGGATCATTGATCCACTATAAAAACATATGTACAGTTGTGAACACCAAGTAATTATAACAACTAATAATTAGACATACCACTTGTGAATATCATCTTAAACCTTACGAACAGATTATGAATATTTTTCAAATTTAAACACCCATTAACATTTATAACAAATTAGAAATTAAAAAAAAAAAAAACAGATTAACATAAATCAGTTATAGGACCATTCAAAAATCGGATTCATCTAAATAGAAAATTATAAAACATCGTATTCAAAATCCATATTGGACTTCATCTATACTTAGTGAATTACAGATGAGAAGTATGGTTAAAATCACAAGAAAATCTAAAAATATAGACCAGTGTGGGCGCCAAAAACGTTTTCGCATCCTTGTGTTTTCTAACAAAGGTCGTGGACCGGAATGGAGGTTTTAGTTTTCTTTCCTAGTTATCAAAATTGGTGCTTTGTTTATGAATGAGATTAAATTTGGAAATATAAGATAAAGAAGAAAGTTATGATACAATTTTATAAAAATATCTTTTCATTTTGATGATTGATGAAATGAATCTATTAGACTATATATGTATTGTTCATCAAAGTTTAGGCACGAAATGAGACCCGTCCCATTAAGAAATCTAATGTATCCATCTCGATGGGGACCAAAGATGGGGACATGATCCCAAAAATTAAAAAAAAGGGGATGGGGATCTCTGTCTCGTCCCATATATTAAATTCAACTGTATATATTATTAATAAAGAATCAAATTTAATATTTTTTAGATTTAGAAATATTATTTTGATTTTTTTTCTTATATTGTTAAAGTAAAGCAATCAGATCCAAATTGTAGTTGCTTGCGAAGAAGCATTCCTATGTGGATATAATTTAGCCTTTATCTCCTATATAGTAGGTTCTTTTAGCTCAGCTATAATTATCATCATTATATTTTAGTTTTTAAATCCTTGTACCTTGTATTTATATGTGGCTTCAATTTCATACATCTAATCTAACTCATAATTGAGAATACAACCATAATTATGTTCTCTTAAATTTAACAAATATACATTTTTTCTAACTTGTTCTATCTTTTTTTAAATAAAAAGCATGGACTGCGCGCCAAAAACGTTTGATTGAACAATTATGTATGATGTTCTGGTTTTGTTAATATATGAATATTTGATGCTCCGTAAAAGCAAAATTGTGGAAATATGCGAGATTTAAACATGAAAATTTTGAATCGAATGTGGTGTTTAACACATTTGATTTAAAATATCTCACACAAACGGAAATAAAAATCTTAAATTCCCCATTGTGGTTCCCGTTACCCGCTGGGGACAGAGATGAAGATGTGATCATATTCCCCGACAAGGACCGGGATGGGGATCGGAGACGGGGTTAGGGGTTGGGGTCCCCGCTCCAATCCCGTCCCATTCCCATGCCTATCAAAGTTACTACAATATTTATGGCCTTAATATGATTACAACCATATATATAGCGTGGAGGTTCGGTTGTGAAAGTTATGTGAGAAAGGTAAGAATGGATCTCTATTCTTTAATCAATCATAACCAAAGATCAATATTAATAAGATGCACCAGATTAATTCTCGTATCGCAATTCATGGATGAGGTGAGATTAAAAATGATCAAGGGTCCAAATCTCTTTTTACTGTTCTTATCTTAACTTCTATTCTCACACAATCATTTGTCTATATGAGGAAAGGTTCAAATTAGAAGTCCCAAAAATATGAGAAGATGAGAAACATAAAAAGAAATATGTAAATATAAGGAAAAGAATGACTAATTTAAGTAACATAACTTAACAAAATTGTGGGGGAAATTTTGAAACTTTTGTATATTTAAATCACAAGCCATTAAATCACTAATCCACTCATTTATTTTAAAAAAATCTCACCTTTCCTTTTCAAATAATAATTAGATTACCCATTTTTTTAATTAATTATTTAAAATATAATTAATATTTTATTTAAATAAATTATATCAAAAAACAAGAATCTCACTTTTTTTTTAATTTAAGATCAATGATATATATATATATATATATATATATATATATATATTTTAGATTCATATATGAATCTTAATATGATTCACAATATCGCTTATAAGTTGTAAATTAATTCACATACATTATAATTAAGATTCACATATGAATTTATGTTATGATTCACGTGTTCACATATGAATTTTAAACTAATTCAGAATCTCGGTTATAAATTTTAAATTCATTCACGTACAAGTTGTGATTAAATTTTTCAAGTGGACCTATGTTAGGATTTACGTTCGACCTGCATAACCCAATTTTGGCCATATGCTAATCAAACTCAAAAACAAAACCCAAATTTACCAGTAACACAAATGCACAACAATTTTTGAACCCAAAAATGACACGAAGAAAAAAGGATAAAACCCCACCACAATGAGTTGGCACAACTAGCCGCATGACTCACGTTGCATGAACCATTGTTTTCGACCTTCTTCTTCCGCCTGTTCCACAGCAGCTCCAGATTTCCAGGTCAACCCTAAATCAAGCTTTCAAAAACATAAAGCTTCCCTAAAATCCAAATCTTGAGATCCAAAAACTTCCATCTAAACATAAAATGAACGTTTATCAAGTTATCAATGGAGGAAACCATATCTTAACTTCCAAGATGATACAAAACTTCATTCAAAAGATTAAATCAATCTTAAAGCACTACAAGAAAATCGGGTTTATAGGATACTCCTAATTGCTAAGCGTCCTAATATACCTTTTTATAAGACTCAGTTTATATGACCAAAAAAATAAAACATCCTATCTAAAAGCATTATAATAAGTTTATATGACGTTTTTTCATGTCGTAATAAGTTTTTTAGGACACTTTTAATATAAAGCGTCTCATTAGAAACTTTATAGGACAATATTTGAAAATTGTCCTATAAAAACAAATGTCCTATAAAAAATTGAGTTTATGAGACACTTTCTCAAAAGTGCTCAATAAAGTTGCTAATGCGACACTTTGTATTAAAAATGTTCTAAACAACTTGTTAAGACACCCAAAAGCGTCATGTAAAATTATTACAACACCGTTAGATAGGACGCTTTATATTTTGGTTCTATAAATTAAGTCCTATAAAACAGTCTATTGAGACATTTAGAGATTGAGGGTGTGTTATAAACCCAATTTTGTTGTAGTGAAGAAAATTAAAATCAACCCAAAGGATTCCATGAAATCTCAACTCAAAACTAAAAGGGGGAAGAGAAATAATCCATCCCTGCAGAAGAATCTCTCGACCAACACACACAAGCACAAAAGGATTTTAGATTAAAAGAACATGAGTTGGAACAATATGAGGAAGTTCCTATAAATTCAAATTAACCCTCAACAAATGACAAATAACAATTAAACCCCCTCAAACTTTCAAACTTAAGATTCATACCGTAATACCTTAAGATATGGTTTTCAAGATAACACCCCCATCGAAACAACGAACATACATATTTGATACACTTCGTAAGCAACGTTACCTGATACATTTCAAAAAACACACGTTGTGATACACTTCATTAGAGTTGCAGTCTGCATTTCTTCGAGATCTGGGTTATGGTATATCAACGAGGTCTCTAGCAAGAATTGGGTTATAGTGAGGTGGATCTGTGGTGTTGCGTCAAGAATGGAAGACGTTGAAGGAGTAGGATTCGATGTGGACAACAAACTGAAAGTAATGGTGCCGGTAGCTGGATCCTGCAAAGCTTTATTTTTCCTTATTAACCTGGATATCCAACTCGCTATCCTACCAGAACTTCTTGCTACGTACTCTTTAATTCTTTTCCTTCGTTTCCATCATCACCATTCGTTACATCGATTACTGCTTTGTCTACGACCAACTCTAAATTTCCGTCTTCGCCACCTTTCACGGTGTCTTCCAACAGCTTATAAGTATAGAACCAGGCACATAGGAAATAATACACAAGGTTTAGAACTTGTATCCCAGTTATAAGCATGTAGTAGTCTTCCAATTTACCTCTATTCAAATTTCGATCCGGCAGCCAATTTCTTCCTCTTCCGTTCGTGGTATACTTATGAACCATCGTCACCATTAACGTCCCCGCATACTGTCCAATTCCAATCGCAATCCAATATAGAGCCAAAGCTGTGCTTTTCATACTTTCTGCTGACTGTTCGTAAAGAAACTCCAATTTACCGACATGAAAGAACGATTCGGCTACACCATGAAGAAAGTACTGAGGAATTAACCAAAAAACACTTATGGGTATTGTATGAGTTGGTTTATCAAGCAAGTTATGATCTTTTGCTTCTTGTTTTCTTTTCATCTCCACAAAAGCTGCGATGAAAGTTGCTAGAACGTTTATCACGAAGCCTACACCGATCCGTTGTAAACAGGTGATGCCTGCAGGGTTGTTTGTGAATCGGTATGCAAATGGGACGAATAAACGATCGTATACTGCAAGGGAAATAAGGGTTCCGATGACACCAAAGACAGCCATGCTGGCTGGAGGTATTTGGAATGAGCTGGAAAGATGGCGATCCATGGTTCGAGCTTGCATGACTGTGAAGCTATTTTGATGTGAATACGCCATTACGTATATTATTCCTGTTGATATGATCGGCAACAATCGAATGATGGATTTTAGCTCCTCGACTCTATGGACCGTTGCAATCCGCCAGAGTTTTGGCGAGTTTGAAACGAGTACGGTGTCATCTTCGGTTATCACGGCAGCTTTATCAAACCACCTTCAAAATCATATGTAATTAAGGATCAATCAACTACATATAACACTTATTATAACGCTTCCCACATGACATTAATTACCTCAAGTGATCGGTATGAACAAGTCTACCATCCCTAGAAATACTGTGATCAAGCTCTTTGTTCTCATACAGAAGTTTAGCATCTATGGGTACCATAACTTGCCACTTCTTTACAGCAGCAACGATCACCTGAGTAACTCTAACAAACGGACTTCCTTCTGGTTTTGTTTTCTGATAAAGTGGAGATCCTACCAGAAATGCTACAAACGCCATGGCCATTGCAATAGTCGGGATCCCGAGACCCCAACCCCAACTCACTCGATCTTGGACATACACAATCACCGTAAGCGCAGATAAACTTGCCAACGACAACGAAAAGTAATACCAGTTGAAAAAATTCCAGCTTTTTGCTTGAGTTTTGAATTTGGAAATGTCGAGTTGATCTGCAGCAAAGGCAACAACACAAGGCCTTGTGCCTCCTAAACCGATGGATGTTAAGAGGAGTGAGATGTAAAGCACCCATAGTTGAGATTGTGATGCTTCTTTGCAGTTCTCTTGGGTGGGACATTGTTGTGGTCGAAATTGTGGCAAGATTGCAGAGATAGTAATGATGACCATCCCCTGCACCATGTATATGCAGATATATACAAGTTTTTAATTACAAGAACAACATTTCCATGGTTTGTAGTGATGGAAAGCTTAACTAGAACAGAATTGAACCAATATGTAAATGAGCAAGGCGATGAGGATGGTCCAGTAGCGACCAACAAAAGAATCAGCCAGAAGAGCGCCAAAAATGGGCATAAAACTTGCGACACCACTGAAGTTGGTGAGGGTGTTGGATGCCTTCACCAATGGCAGGTTGAGTTGTTGAGTCAAGTATGTTATCAAGTTGGCATGGAATCCAGTTGCAGCAAATCGGTCACATATCTCATTTGCTGTCAAATTAAATCACATTTAGGAATCAATTTTCATTACATTTGATTACGAGAACAAACATGGATCAACATCATACAATGCAAGTTAAGGTTTATAGAAAAGAAAATTACAAATTCTATGGATGTAGAACTACTTGTGTTCTTTACGGGTGTCACACAAGACTTGATGAAAATTAATGAGATAGGTGAGTGAAAAAATCGTGCAATGTTTTACGTTTTTAGTTGACGTGAATAATTCAGTAACTTATCAATTTTGTCTCATCTTCATGATTTTTGTTTACTAAATGCACCCTTCTTCGTTACACTTTTACTTTTGGGTATTAGTAGCTAGTTGTATGAATATTGTATATAAATTAATGTATATGTATATATATGTATAGGGGTAAGATCTTTTGTTAACCAAGAATATTGTATTAACTTTGTGAACTTATTGGACCAATAAGATTCATTCTTTAGTAGATGTTACTTCAAAATTTTGATTTAATAATGAAGGGTAAATATGTAATTTTTATGCGTAAGTTATTTTTATGGTATTTAATGACGTGTTACAAATTTTTATGTGTAAGTTATTTTTATTTTATTTAATGATATTCATAGGTGTTTATAAGAATGTGTTCGTAACCATAAGGTATTCATAAGAATGTGCTCATATGTGTTCATAAAAATGTGTTTATAACCATAAGACGTTCATAAGATTGTGTTCATAAMCATATGGTGTTCATAGGTGTTCAAGATCTTTTGTTAACCATATGATGTTCATAGCCCTATGGTGTTTATAGACCAATCAAAAGGCCTTTATACTTAATGTTCATATCTCTCTATGCGGTTAATGTCGAGGTATATTAGTAATTTTCATTTTTTTTTTGTCTTGATTGAAACATATTTAATTGACAGTTACAAAATGATTCATGTTCGATGATTTTAGTCATTTTTCTTTTTGGTCTTGATTGAAACCTATTTAATTGACTGTTACAACTAAGCAATTTCATAAAAAAACATGTTTTCATAACAATATAATAAAATTATGCATGTGTTCATGAGTGAACCTAAATTGTGCATAACTAAACTTGCATAAGGAAATCATTTGTTGACTGTTGACGCAATGATTAATGTTTAATATGGACTTTAACCATCATAGTGTTCATTAAGGGGTACACCACAACGATGAATGATAGCTCACTATCTATACTAAAAGTAATGTATTTATTGGTGGACCATGAATACATTTATCAAAAACCATGAACAATGAGTACATATGAACAATGAATACTTTTTTCACTCATGAATGGTCTTTCAAACATGAATTGACATAAGGATGCTCATAAAAGCTTGTTGATACAACACTTATATGAGTTTAAGCATGTTTCATGAGTGAACAAGTTGAATTTCATATCATTAAAATCTTTTCCCATAATACCCCTGTAAACATTGTTCACTTATGTTACTCTGTCTCCTTATGCCATTAATTAAATTCTATGACATGAGTAATCTCAACTATAAATTTTAAAGATCGATAGATGAGATGTGTTTACAAAGTTAAAATACCATAATTGAATAATCTCAGCTATATTTTTTTCTTCTCCTTCTAAATTTTGAGATTCTCTATTTTCTTTCATTTTTTTCTTTATTTTAGAAAATAGAAAATCTCAATAATTTCTTAGGTCGTTAGGTTGAGTGTTGTTGGATCTCTTCATTTTTTCATACAATTTTTTGTTGTTGATTTCACTTAGATTTGGGTTCTTTTATTTAATTTATTGACTTCCTACGTCTTGATATATGTTTTTTTCTTTTATCAGATTTGTATTTTTAAAGAAGGTAAAAGTTTGTAAACGTTGATATGACATATACAATCATGAGATGATATCGTACATGGATACTCTTGTCGAGAAGATAAGATAGACATAAACGATGTGATGTGATGATAACGTTGATATTTAAATGAGTTAACGACTTCTTTATCATAATGAAGATGTGGTTCTTAAGATTTTTTTTTTATAGAACTTGGCTCATTCTCTAAACCATTCTACAAAACAAAATGAATAAAAATTGAGACTGTGTCGATTCTCCAAATTTTACAATAAGAAAACTGATTTTATAGAACACCTAGAATGTCTAAGAATGTTAATAGAACACTTTATAGAACATAAGTTTATAAGATCAAACTATAAAACATCTTATCTAAAAGCATTACAATAAGTTTATAGGACGCTTTTATGCGTTTTAACAAACTTTTTAGAGCACTTTAAGAATTAAGTGTCTTGTTAGCTATTTTTATAGGTTACTTTTGAAAATTGTCCTCTAAATCTATCTTTTTATGGAACACTGGTGTTTATAGAACGTTTTTAGTTTTTTGTTAAAACACCTAAAAACATCTAATGAAACTATTGCAACACTTTTAAATATGATGCTTTTCAATTTACATTTTGTAAAATATTTTATTAGAATATTTAAACATTTTAAACTGTACTTTAAAACCAATTTGGCAATTTTGTTTTAATGTTTGGAGCAATATCTAAAATTTATTACTACCACTTTTCAGAAGTAAATAATGTTAATACTTTTTTTTTTTCTATTTGTTTGATTCGGAACGAAAAGTTATTGTAGTAGTTTCTTTTAGGAGATTAAGGGGCCATTTATTAAATACTTACTTGGTAAGTGTTTAATGCATAAATTTCCTCATCGGATGAGCATAAGAAGGGCCAAGAATCTTACCGGGTAAGAGCGATTAGAATGATGGAGAGTCTTACCCGATAAGTGAGGACGATGACTCTTACCCAGGTAAGCGTTTATCTTGTAAATTGTTGCATTCGATATGCTTTGATGTACTAAAATCTTACGCATCTAAATAAATTATAGTGTTGACTCCTATTGGTAAGCGCTTATCGGGTAAGCATTTGGGTTAACGGTCCATAAATATACCATTAATTAGGGGTGCATAAAAAACCGTCAACCCGCAAAACCCGTTCAACCCAACCTGCTAACAACCCAATTGAACCCAACCCGCCTAACCGCCCACCCGCCAAACCGTTAACCCGCCAATTAGAAGGGTTGAAATTGGGTTGGGCCTAGCTCAACCCGTCCAACCCGCCAAACCGCCAATTAGAAGGGTTGAAATTGGGTTGGGCCTAGCTGAACTCGCCCAACCCGCCAAACCGCTGCTAATATATAATTTTTATAAAAAATTTATTTATATATATATGTTTATTATGTATATATACTGATAATGTATAATTTTTATTGATATTAAGTTTGTATTTCATTTTAGCTAAAGGTATAGATTACCAAAAGAGATTCATGATCAAAGAATGATGACAAATAATCTAATTAGTAAAATTATTGAAGTTTTTTTTTGCAGCAACAACAAATTGATATGTCGAAGAATATGAATGATACTAATAGATACTTTGTTGACGAATCCATCAATCTATATACCCCGTCATTTGATGTTGTACTTTAGAAAAATGTTTTATCTAAAAGAGTTACAATATGTTTATAGGATGATTTTGGGCATGCTAACAAATTCTATGACGCTTTTAAAATAAAGTATCATATTAGTTATTTTATACGGCACGACTTGAAAAGTGTATATGAACATAGGTGTCCTATAAATAAATGAGTTTAAGGGACACTTCTAAAAATATTTATATAAAATAACTAATACGACATTTTATTTAAAGATCATTCTAAAACACTTGTTGAAGCGTCCAAAAACGTCATATAAACATATTGTAACTTTTTTAGATAGAATGTTTTATAGTATGGTCTATAACTACTAACTCGTCAACCCAATCCAACCCGTCTCAACCCGCAAGAGTTGGGTTGGGTTGGGTTATATTTTTGAATGAGTTGGGTCGGATTGAGATTTTTCCAAACCGCCATAATTGGGTTGGGTTGTAAAAATGTTGTAAACCGCCCAACCCAACCCGCGTGCACCCCTACCATTAATTTTAATAAATATTTAGTTATTGCAATTAATGTAAACATCCCTAGAACGAAAAATGATTATATTTTAATGTATTTTTTCAAAATATTGCAAGTTTTACTTTAATATTTTGGAAACATCATAAATAATAAGCTGCTCACATTTTTTAAGTTTTACTTTTTCTCTTTTCAATTAAAATTTTATTTTATAGTATAATATATTAATTTATTTACTTAATTTGTCAAATATTCAAAAAAGAAATATTAAATTATTTTTTGTAATTTGTTTATAATTCTAAATATTACATAATTTGTTTCTAATCTTGAAAGATTATAATATCTTCAATTTAAAAATAATTATTAATTTCATAATTTGTTAGTGGTCACCATATATGGAATGTTTTAACAAACTCAATTATATTTATTTATTATATTTAATAATATTTTTTACATTGATAATATCAATATATTTATTTAATTTGGTAATTAATTTATTTTTTGGTTTTAAATTGTGATAAAAAAAAGATAAGGAATGGGACCCTTTTATTTATCTTTCATAAACAATCATGAGTTCGTAAGCAAAATCAAAAATAAACAATAATAAATCAACTCGAAATATATCTTTTTATGCACATAAGCTTGTGGATTGCTGTCAAACAGAGCGTCAATCGATTATGTCGATATGGGTACTGACATATGTAGACTGTAGAGGTTATGTATGTGTGTGTGTATATATATATATATATATTGTAATGATTTAGCAGAGAGTATGGACGACCACAAGTTTCACAAACTCAAATAAGTGTAGGAGTGATGTTTGAAGATATATATATATATATATATACATACCAAGGATAAAAGGCATTGTTTTGATGCCACCAAGCTTCTTTTGCTTTGCCATCTCTACAGTTTCTTCATTGATCATGTTCTCCTTCTCTAATTCCATCTTCTTGAAGCTTTTGGAGTTTGAGGTTTAATTGAGTGATAATTAATGGCAATGGCTGATTCAAATAAGAACAAGCAGACTGGCAAGAAAAAAGATATTTAGTGCTTGGTGGGGTCTTGAATACCTAGAATGGGAGTTATTGTAAAAACCAAATTATTGGCCAACTTTAGTGAGCCATGACTTTCCAAACCTCTTAGATTGAGTGAATTACACTCTTGGTCCTATGATTTAACGAATTAGGCTATGTTAGAGCCTCACATAGCCCTCACGTGAGCGGTAAATCGATCTTTTCATGACTGGCTTTCCTGAAACTCATTTCATCTCCCTCTTCAACAACTCTAATTACCATAAATCACCCCCCCCCCAAAAAAAAAAAACCCCTTCTAGTCGAACCCATTTAGAATCATGTTGCAACAGTAGAAATCAAAAGGACAAAAAAAAAAGCAGAGGTGACATCGCTAACCTAGGTTTGTTCGAATGAAACTCATTTTTGTATGTAACAATCATCATAGATTGTGGAGTGAATGTGTCGTCTTTCTAGCCCTTGCCCAATAGCTTGTGAAAAGTTTTGTGTTGGCTATGGAGGTGCTACATCTGGTGGTGTAGGCGACATGGACTATGGATTATATCTTGTTTGTTTTTTGCACTTTTCTCTACACAGTTCTTCTGATTATCACCATCTCAAGCGACACAAAAAGGCTTTTTTTATTGGGTATCTATCGAATTTGCACTGTCGACGAAGTTTTGGTGGGTAATGATGTTGACAACAGGTTGGAATAAATCACGATATTTGTATGAAGAACATGAAGCCTAATTTATATAGAAAATGAGGAAAAAGGGGGAAAACGATAAACATGCCTTTATGTAAGGGCACATAAGGCTCTGATGGAGTTCAATTTGATGGTGTTAAGCTAAATTAAGGGCCATAAATGTTATAAAAAGTAAAAGTTTAGGGGCAATATTGTTCACAATGTATTTGAAGGACTCAATCCAAAATGTAGGTAAACTATAAGGACCATAAAGGTAATTCACTTTTTTCAAATATAAATGGAAATTACACATTTCTGATTGAAAGGTTTGACTTTTGGGTATTTGTTGTCTTGTCTTTATTACGATTAAATATTTAAATAAATATACTTTTATATTATTTTTATATTAACTTGAAATTCTATATTCTGTTTTATATTACAAAACATTTTTCAAATAAAAAGCAAATATAAAAAAAAAAAAAATTCAAATAATAATATTATTTAACTAAGAAAATGACATTAACATAATTCGAATTTAAAATGAAACGAAGAAAAATAACATTTATATGTAACTCAAACCCACCTCGATCATTTCTCCCGATTTGTGAGAGTTGGAAGCCAATGATATTTCCCTAGTAGTCATCAAGAATCTATTGGAAAAACCAATGCATTCATTATGATGACGACAAAATTCACATGCACCTAATTAATTTCATTTATTTCTTTATTAATTAATTAATGTTAATATCTAAAAAGTCATAAATTCAAATGCAAGGTTTTTCTTATTCAACCAAGTCAACCAACAGTGTTTGATTAAGCTATAACAAATTGTCTAGGACATTTTTAATATAAAATGTTGCATTAATAATTTTATAAGATATTTTTGTCAAATCATAATATTCTTTAATTTTTTTTGTAGTAATTGATATATTAATAAAAATGTTAATACGAAATCATGAAGAGACGGAGCATAGTTGACGGATGGTGGTTAACCATTTGTCGTAGTCAGGGCATGATCAGGATTTATATGGTGGAGCTTTAGATGTATTCTCCACTTTTCCTTCTTTGTTTAATTTTGAAACTTAAGCCGATAAAAAAAGTTATCATTTAGTTATCTCTTGTTTTTGGTTTGAAAAGATAGCAACATTACAACATATAAAAACAATATAGAGTAAATTACACTTTTGGTCCATATGGTTGTCATTCAGTATCAAGTCTGGTCCCTACTTGAAACTAATTACAATTTTGGTTACTGTCGTTGTCAACTTTTTCAGATTTGGTCTTTCTGTTAGTTTAAGCCAGTTATGAGTTAAGTCCATTCTCTAATGGGGCATTTTGGGCTTTTATCATTTTATGTTATTTTAATTAAAATAAAAATTTGTATTGAAATACTATATCTAATATTTCATATGTATATATGCACGTACAAGTCAAAACCTGTGTTTTCTTCCCGTACCTCTTCATTACTGCCGGAAACTGAGGAAGAGGAAAGACTCATCGGCCACGTTTGTCGATCCCAACTTAGACTTTGATTTAGATTGATCTTAATTTTGGATTTTCGTATTCACAGGCAACAACCATCTCATTCTCATATGTGGTCTCAGATTTAGGTTTGCAAATTTTGGGTTTGAATCTGTTTTTTGGTTTCCGTGAGATTTGGTTAGTCCTTTCTAATCTTCCTGTTAAACATCTTAGAAAACATATGATTTTTTTCTATGCATTTGGATTAAGTTTCTTGCTTCTACTTCTTTTCTTTTGATTTGATTCAACTTGAAATGAGTTTTGGTTTCCGAAAATGGGTTTGATTCATGGTAGGAGGAGATGAACAATGGGTTTGAAGTTTGAACAGTGAGTTTAATTTATGGATTTGAAGTTTAAATAGTGGGTTTAATCTACAGCTTCTGTTTAGATTTGGGTTCTTCATGGGGGTGAAGGTTCGCCGGAGAAGATGATTGGAGGGTATAGGAGTTGGTCGGGAGTGTGGGATGCATCAATTTGTTGTCGCATGCTTTAGGTATATGTACATTAAATATTATTTTTTTAAAATAAAAATGATAAAAAATGTATATTAAAAAGACGAAAATACCTCCCAAGTTAAAAGACTTATTTAATAAAAGTTAGTTTGAAGAACCATATGTAAAATGACAACTAGAATGACCAAAATTGTAAATAGTTTCTCCGAACTTGATATTGATTGACAATTATAGGGACCAAAAATGTAATCTACTCAACAATACATATGTCAATGATTTAAACTACTTTTTTTTTTTACTAACTTGGATATCCAACTCGTTATACGAGCCGACTAATTTCAGGGCGACCACCTGCTTTGCAGATAGCCCGAAGTCACCGCATTTGAACATCCATGGCCACAAGGGGATTTTTATTCTTTCTTGGATTTGAACCTAAGACCTCCTGGTATTTTTGACATTTGGAGCCAAACTCAAACCAATCAGGCACCACCCTTGTAGTTGATTTAAACTACTCTAGTGAAGTAGAAATCCATCAAACAATAGTGTTTTGTAAATAGAACAATACAAGTGAAAAAATATATATTAAAATACTGAAATGATAAAATAACTTCCTACACTATACTTAACAAATAATATGGGGCTATTTACCAAACGCTTACTCAGATAAGTGCTTACCAAGTCACATTACCTTACCTGGCAAGAACTAAGAATCTTACTTGGTAAGAGCGAGCCAAAAACCGAGAGTCTTATCCGATAAGTGAGGACGATGACTCTTACCAAGCTCTAGGGCCGCTGGGTTGTGTCGTTGGGACTTGAGAGTGGGAGAAGTCGAGAAGCGGAAGAGGTTAGTTGGTCATCGATGAGGGATTGAGGGGAGTAGACAAAGGGCTTTCACTCAAAAGGGTAATGGGCCTTTACTAGTTTATCTTTAAGGAAAAGCCCAGACCACCATGGCTCCACCCCTGTGCGACTATACCTTCTTACTAGCATCAAGAGATTTCTATCATCATTGCAATGCAAAAGAAAAACAACCAAACACTTTCCATTCGAAATTTTACTTGCAATTCTTCCACTGTTGATCATCATTCTAATGTCTTATTCTAAAAAAACCATCCAACAACAACAGAAAACATGTGTTTTTACCAAAAAAAATGTCTCCATTTTAACATGCATTTCACTTACCTTTGAAATGAAGAACAACATCAAGCTGTCTAATCCGAATCCGTAGATTCGCTCTCATCATCAGAATCCTCTGCAATACTCTTCCCTTTGTGATCAGTATCTGGATTTGCTTCCCAAACATCAGTTTCTTGCTCTTTTCCTTTGCCTTTTTGCTTCTTTTCCTCCGAATCTCTCTCTCGAGATCGTAGAGAATACGAACTCTTGACCGCAGTACGTGCAGGTCTCTTTCTTTTGGCAGCAGGTGGTTTTTGTTCGGGTTCACTATCAGATTCTTTAGCGGCAGCTGTGCCTCGAATTACAACACCTGTAGGTTTTCGTCGTGGACCATACATTATCTCATTGATACTCCGATACTTCTGCTTTCGCTTTTTACTTTTCCTCGGTCTTTTCCTCTTCTTCTTTTCATCAGAACTAGAACTACCCGATGTTCCTTCCTCTTCATCATCACCTTTTGATTCTTTCTTTCTCTTGTCCTCATCATCACCTCCTGTGTTTGATTTTGGTTGAGTTTGTCTTTGTGATTGAAACGGACTACATTTAGATACCCGCGCCATTGTGTTTTGGCATAAAATCTCAAGGACCTATGGTGCTGATTTCAAACAGCTATAGCTGAAACCAGAAAGAAAAGTTCCTGAAAGATGATATATAACAAGTTGAAGAAAAACAAATTCAATTGAACCACAAAAGGGTACAACGATTCAAACTATAAAATTATAAAACAGAATCTCAATTTCTATAAGAAACCTAAATCAGATTGGGATATCGAATTCAAGAAATTATATTAAAATCTCAAGAATTGTAGAAGAAAAATAATGAACGAATATAAGTCCCAAAAGATTTCAAGTATCTGCACAAAAGGAAATCAAAATTACAGAAACAGAATGTGTGATTAAAAGCGTAGTAGAGAAGAATCGATAATGAAGTGAAATCATCACGAACAAATTAATAAACAGCCAACAAATTTGAATGAGAACAGAAACAAAGAAACTACTGCAGTAATTCTTAATCCGAATTCAAGATCGTTAAAAAAACCCGATTAAAACTCGTATTGGTAATAAAGAACCCTAAATCGATCATACAGAATCAGATTATCACGGTGCCGGTAACAGATAGAGTACGCCAGGGATTCAACAAATCAACTTTAATCAAAAGAGATTCAGACATTTCATAACAGTAAGGAACACGATACAATGAAGGGGATGGATGAATAGCAATACCTATGGATGAATAACGAATTGTAACAGTAGACTGTAGACTTGAAGATCTAACCCTCAATCATCAAACTCTCATCATGATTACAGAAATTTTGTTTATAAGGAGTGAAGTTTGTTATCTGGATTTGTTACAGAAACTGTTGAACTTATAAGCGAATCCATGAACGAACTGATCAGTGCTCCGTCGACTTTCTCCGGCTTCTAAACGAACTAGTGGCAACATGCATGCAAAAGGCGGGAATTTTTATTTCGTACACGTGGGCTCACCTTATTGGATCCTAAGGTATGTTCGTGTGGAACTTTTTTGAAACCCAACCGGTACAAAAAGTGCACGCACACAAATTTTAAGTCTGGTTTTTAAATAAATTTTAAAGCATGGAATATAAAAATAAAAATTATAATTCTCAATAAACTACAGGGACGGAAAACGTAATTTACTCATAAAAGTAATATAAGGCCACGTGTACGAAATGAAAATTCCCGCCTTTTGCATGCATGTTACCACTAGTCCGTTTAGAAGCCGGAGAAGGTCGACGGAGCACTGATCATTTCGTTCGTGGATTCGTTTATAAATTCAACAGTTTCTGTAACAAATCCAGATAACAAAATTCACTCCTCATAAACAAATTTCTGTAATCATGATGTAAGATGAGGGTTTGATGATTGAGGGTTAGATCTGATCAAGTCTACTGTTACAATTGGTTATCCATAGGTATTGCTATTCATCCATCCCCTTCATTGTATCGTGTTCTTTACTCTTATGAAATTTTCTGAATCTCTTTTGAATTAAGTTAATTTGTTGAATCCCTGGCGTACTCTATTTGTGATAATCTGATTCTGTATGATCGATTTAGGGTTTTTCTTTATTACCAATAAGAGTCTTAATTCTTAGCGTCAGGTTTTTTTAACGATCTTGAATTCGAATTAAGAATTACTGCATTAGTTTCATTGTTTCTGTTCTCATTCAAATTTGTTCGTGAAGATTTCACTTCATTATCAGTTCTTCTCTACTACGCGTTTAATCACACATTCCATTTGTGTGATTTTGATTCCCTTTTGTGCAGATACTTGAAATCTTTTGGGACTTATATTCGTTCATTATTTTTCTTCTACATTTCTTGAGATTTTAATATAATTTCTTGAATCTGCTTCAATTCGGTATCCAATCTGATTTAGGTTTCTATAAGAATTGAGATTCTGTTCTAAAATTTTAGTTTCTGGGGACTCTTATAGTTTGGATCATTGTACCCTTTTGTGGTTCAATTGAATTTGTTTAACGAATTTCTTCAACTTGTTATATATCATCTTTCAGGAACTTTTCTTTCTGGTTTCAGCTATAGCTGTTTGAAATCAACACCATAGGTCCTTGAGATTTTATGCTAAAACACAAATGACGCGGGTATCTCAATGTTGTCCGTTTCAATCACAAAGACAAACTCAACCAAAATCAAACACAGAAGGTGATGATGAGGACGAGAGAAAGGAAGAATCAGAAGGTGATGATGAGGAGAAAGGGACATCGAGTAGTTCTAGTTCTGATGAAAAGAAGAAGGGGAAAAGGCCGATGAAAGGCAAAAAGCGAAATCAGAAGTATCAGAGTATCAATGAGATTAAGTATGGTCCAGGGGGAGAATCGAAAGGTGTTGTAATTCGAGACAGAGATGCTGCTAAAGAATCTGATGGTGGACCCATACGAATACCACCTTCTGCCAGAAGAAATAGAACTCCACGTATTGAGGTTAAGCGTTCGTACCCTCTACGATCTCGAGAGGAAGATTCAGAGGAAAAGGAGCGAAAAGGCAAAGAAAAAGAGCAGGAAACTGATGTTTGGGAAGCAAATCCAGACACTGATCAGAAAGGGAAGAATATTGCAGAGGATTCTGATGATGAGAGCAATTCTTCAGACCCGGAGTGGACAGGTTGACGTTGTTCTTCATTTCAAAGGTAAGTGAAATGCATGTTAAAATGGAGACATTTTTGTGGTAAAAACACATGTTTTGTATTGTTGTTGGATGATTTTTTTTAGAATAAGACATTAGAATGATGATCAACAGTGAAAGAATTGCAAGTAAAGTTTCCAATGGAAAGTGTGTGGTTATTTTTCTGTTGCATTGCAATGATGGTAGAAATCTCTTGATTCAAGTAAAAAGCTATACTAATCACAGGGGTAGAGCCATGATGGACTGGGCTTCCCCTTGGGTTTTTTAAGTGAAAAGCCCTTTCTCTACTCCCTTCAATCCCATATCAGCTAGCCCTTCTCTGCTTCTCGAGTGCTCCCCCTCTAAAGTCCGAACAAGACGACCCGGCGACCCAGCTGCCTGGTATGAATCGGCCCTCTCGATTGTGTGTATCTGACTAAATTGAAGTTGTCGAAATTAGTAAGGTTTCATATTAGAATCATTTAGTTGATTAGTGTTGCTACTTGCCTACTTGGTTCATTTTCTAGCCAACATGAGTTTGTTTGATGAAATTCAATGAAAGGGTAGAATATATTTTGTACAATTAGCACTTTGGTTCATATGAATGCATAAATTTGCAAGTGATTTTGTTCTACTAATGCCATATTCACAAAACTTTAAAATTCCTTCAAAAACGTTGTAATTAGATTAAAAACACATCGAACGATTTTGCGGGTTTTTAGTCTATCTTAAAGGTGACCCCACTGAACAAAAATCCTGGATCCGTCACTATTTACAAGTTCTCTAAGTGTGAGTTTCAAAAGTTGTAATACTTGGGTGCTTGTTTGTTCAAGACATGGTGTTCCATGACATACATGGAATACAAACAAGTCTACGGATATTTCTCTGTTTTCTGTAGATAATTCATATGATATGTAGGTTTGAGAACCTTTATTACTCCTTTATTGGCTTAAGATTCAAAATTAAACGAAAAATGAAAAGTTGACTGACACATTTAAAGTTCCACTAATTCTGTCGTTGATTATACAAATAGCTCACCACTAATATTCTTTTGATATTTTCATATAATATTAAGCTATCGTTTACCAAACATTTACGCGGTACATATTTCCTTATCAGATGAACATGGTAAGGACCAAAAATCTATAAGATCAATGGCAAGAACCGATTGTCATACCCGGTTAGTACTTAGCGGGTAAACTGTTACATATATGACGCTGTTTTAACATATTAAAATCTTAAACAGTAAGATAAATGATAGTGTTAAATGCTTATCGAAGAAGTCTTTGGATAAACGGCCCTAAGCTTCATATATCGATTGCTACAAAATTTATAAAATGTTTTTTAAGGAATTTAGAAATTGTTCTAATTTGACAAAAATGTTGTCTTCAATAGTATCCTTTTAATATATATATATATATATATATATATATATATATATATATA